ACACTGCTGTAATCCTTCCTTGGCGTTTCCACCGTATTGTTCAACGGCCGACGAGCAGATCGATGAATTCTGCGAAATCTACATTGTTTAGCCGCTATGACAGCCATGGATGGTCCCGATGATGCCTTAGGACTTTTCCTAATGAACTATGGTAATTGGAATTGACAGAGCTCCTTATGCCTACGGTGCACCTCTACTTAAGACAAGGGAGCTCTGACCATAAATTAATTTTTTCCGCTGTGCCGTTTACGCTCTAAACAGAGGATTGCACCTCATTAGCACGAGTTCGTTCAGGTGCTCAAATGATGCATAACAGTGTTCGACATGGAAATTGCACAAATGGAGACCGAAGCGACTTGGACGTTAAAAATCTCAGAAATCCGGTCGAATAATCCTACCATTTCTGGATCCTCTTGCCATGACCGATGTTATCTTTTACTGAGTCACTACGAACTTGCGAAGACAGCCTTTCTTAAGATAAGATAAATCACAAGAATGTCGTGGAACAACGCCAAACCATTGGATTCTGGGATTTTACAGTAAGATGAGTCACGACGTAACAGTTCAGACAAAAGGATGACATTACTTTTCATGTGTTCGCAAATTTTATACAGTGCTTTAAAAAATCACTGTTTACAAGAGGCGAGATTTATGGCGTGTTTAGAGGAGTCACTGCGCTTTGACAACGCAACTCGAACACCACGCGGGAAAACTTTTGCTCTTTTCTCTATACATAGAAGACAGCCGCTTAGATGTTTCTGGGTTGGGTGGGATATTGAGTGAATTACTGTTGTGAATAGCGCCTATGCATTATTATGACTCAAATAACAATGAATTAGATCAGTTCATTGCAATCTAATCCATCTATGCATTTATATTCATCCCTGTCCGAGGAACAGACGGAATGACGTCATCACAGGCACTCTGAAAAAATGCGCAGACGATATATGATATATCTAATATACAGATAAACCTAATTCTCACTTATAACGCATTAATCTTTCCCATGTAAAATACTGCTTCGAAGGCATGCTGACATGTCGGTAACCATTATTTGTTCAGATATCTTTTCCACAGAATATGACAGGTTGCATGTTCTTCTTAATCTTCCTCAACCATAACCGTTTCTTCCCTTTGGTCGCGTCGCAGATGTGTCAGACAGTGCTTCCAACTTTCCCTAATCTGTGCCACCGTCTGGGCTTCGGCAGAAGAAAAGCGGCGTCTAGAGCAGGCTAATCCCTTTCTCTAGGTCAACAAAGCACATGTACACCGGCTGGGCGTACTCCCACGATTTCTCAACAATCTGGCGCAGGACAAATATATGGTCAGAGGTGCTTCGACCGCGCCGGAAGCCACACTGCTGTTCTTGTATCATGGAGTCAATTATTTAACGGCCCTCCTTTCTAGCACCTTTGCATAAACTTAACCTCAGTGACGCAATAAGGTAATACGCCGGTAGCTGGTCTCCCTTCTTGAATACGGGTACAATAACTCCAGTTCTCCAGACCGCTGGTGTCTTTCCCGCACTCATCGCAGTTTGACACACACGTGTTAGCCAGCACATGCCTTGTTCGCCTAATGTCTTGAGCATCTCAGGGCGGATTTGGTCAATTCCAGCAGCTTTTCCATTTTTTAAGTTTTTCACAGCCTGTACAACTTCATCTACAGAGATAGTAATATCCGTACCCTTCTGCTCTATAGGCGAGTCTTCCTGCTGTTGCGCGGGGGAAGTCTCCCTCCATCGCCGAAGAATGTCATTATCTTCGATAAGAGGGTGTTCAGTCTTGACTTCATGACTCTGGGACTGCCCTTGTTTTCAGCTTGGAGCTCGGCGGATAGTTTGCCAGAAATCCTTGTATGCTACTCTAGATATCGGATTCCAACACCTCACGAAACTTCTCCCAGGAATCAACTTTGGCTTCACTGTCGCCTTACGCGCTTCGACATGTCGCATGCAAGTCGAAGGCTCTTTGTTTTCAAACATATCTTTAACTGCCATTTGTACCTCTCGTATCCACCAGGAGGTTTTATCTGACCTCTAGGCAGCAAAACAACCCGTTTGACTCAATCATTTTTGCAGGGAATGCAGCAAACGCATCCGAGTAGTTCGTTCTTACAAACAAATTTAAATGCGAGCAATTCCGTAAGAAACATGAGGACAACTGAACGACCGTTATGGTTTGAAAAACGAAACTTAGTCACAGTATTAGTGATCCTCTTCTTTGTTCTTGCCTGATCTTCATTCTTAGGACCCAAGGTTGGACTGGTTGCGAGATTATCATATCAGAGGATGATAATTGGCAACACAAACCGTTAAACTATAAATATTGACTATAAAGACAATTTATCGTGCATGAAAATGCGGAATTGACTTATAATTGCATTTAAGCAGGGCCCTAAAGAAAAGACTCAGGAGGCATACGCATACCCTGCTACTAAAATCACATTACTCATAGCCAGGGCCAGGCCGGAAGTTAGCTACGAAACACATTGTGTGAAACATTCGCATATTAGTAGTTGCCTATTTCAGCAATGATGATTTCTTTTGAAAACAAATGCTTTGGTTAGGTAATCTCTGAATCACTTCCTTTCTCGTCTACGAAATTCTACACAGTCATCTGTTCAGTTTACCTAGCAGCTTCCAAGGGTCATAAAATTTAGTAGGGGCTGCTCTGACCTATCATCATCATCATCAATCTCTTTCGATCCAATGTTGGATGAAACCCTTCCAATAATGTGTCACTAATTTCTGTTTTCTGCGACAATTTATCTTGATCCAATAACAGTCTTCAAGTCATCTTGTCATTTCTCTGAAGACCTCCCTATGGGACGAAGGTAGAAATTGGAATCCAGTGTAATGTCTCTGTTTCAGTGATAGTCAGTTCTTCTTGCAACGTGTCCTGTCCATTGCCACTCAAACTTTTTCACTTGTTCAAGGACGTAGCGGATTCCTGTTCATGCGTTTACCCTTTCGTTTGCTTACCTGTTTCTTCCTGTTATTCCAATCATCCATCTTGCATACATTTCGTATCTATAGATTTGCAATGGAAACATGCATTGGATGGAAAACCCTTCATTTCTATCACAAGACCAGTTTAGCGCCAAAGTACATTTTTAATCTTTCAAAAGCGCCATGCCATTTTTACTCTTCTGAGTCGATTTTCCGCTTGGAGATCAGCTGTCCCAGACAAAGATTGTTCTGCACCTCCTCCAGCTTCCTCATGCCTGTGGCTTCAGCAGATAGCGGAGTCATGTGCTTATTACACATGACTTAAATACTTTTCACGTTCATTTTCAGTGTCCTCTTTCGATATTCGCTTAGTTCAGCTTTGTATTCTTTCGCAAACGCCAGGTTTTTTAATAAAGCCTACTTATCTTTGGTCCTTGGTTTTCTCAATGGAATGTCTTGCCTTCTTGTAAGACTGCTGTAAATGGCTTTTGTGATATTACGTCTCCCTTTCTGACTCCCTTTAGATTTTGAACTTGTTTATGTCTTGGTGAAACTACAAACTAGTAGCTGCCTTCTTGCAAATCAAGAGATCAGGTTTATGTATCTTTTTTGTTCCCTGGCTCTTCAAAGCATCAAATACAGAGCGGATATAGACTCAGTCGAAAGTATTCTCGAA